TTATACCAATGGGACACCCTATTTTTTTATTGCATATTTGGATCATTCGACTAAAAATAGGTAAATTTCGTCAAAACCATTTTTTCATATTTGTAATAGATGGCGCTGTAATAAAAAAAATCAATTTTGTTCGATTTTTCTTCTTCTACGATTCTGCAATAATTTTTCAATAAAAGTATCACTTTTTTGGTAATAATTATCTTATTAAATTAAATCTAATTTTTTAAGTACCCACGATTTTTTAACTAATATTTAAGTTACCTTTGGTTTAAGTTTTATACATTTTTTCATTCGGTGATAATTATCAATTGCGCACCATGGTCACTTTTTACCTGCCAGCATTAAATCCTTTAATTTAAAGGATTATTGTACTATTTTTAATAAAAATACCTCACTTAAGGTAAAAAAAAAACATTATTTTGTCAATTAATTAATTTAATTCTAATTGAGGTATAAAAAATGGTATATAGTTATAAATAATAATTATTATTAAGGTATAAAGAAACTATTTATACATGGTTTAGCATTATTTATTTAATTTAGTTCGAAGATTAATTTGCAAACAAAGACCTCCTTTTGTTAAGCAGTTATTCATAATGGATTTTTTAACTGTGGAAGATAAAATAGAAATGATTTTGATTTATGGAATCTTGATGATGCTGTTAATATCTACGCTCAGCGTTTTCCGGAAAAAAATCGATCACGTACTTTATTTTACCGTACAGTCAAGCAGTTTTCTACAAACGGGAGTGTTCAACCGAAAAAAAGAGTTCGTCGAACAAATATTTAATATTGTTATTTTGAGCACCTACTTTAATTAAAATTTAAAAAACAAATAAATAAATTTAAAAAATAAAACCAAGTATTTTATTCAAAAATTATTGGAGAACCGTATACAGAAGAAAAACCAAAAAAAATTGATTTTTTTTCATTACTTACAGTACATTACATTACAATAAATGTTTTAGACAAAATTGAACAATTTTACATATTATTTTGGAATAAAAAAAATTTTGTGCACTTAATACAGATTATATTATGTATCAACATTTATAAATAAACTTTGTTTTAATATTCTTACTGTTTTTTTGACAAAAATTCGTTGTGTACTTTTTTGTTTGATTATTTTCCTCATAATAATATGAACCAATCAAAAGCCTTAAATTTTCGAATAAATTTCGTTTAAATAAGCGATTAAATCACTAGAACTATTTAACAGCGATTAAATTTTAGCCTCCATATTGGATTTTTGTTTACGATTTTATGGTGTTATTTACAAGTTTTAACAAACATTTTTTAAAAACCAATAAAAAATAAGTTATCTAGTTTACGAAAAATCAATTATTACTTATTACATACCTTAAATTAATGGAATTTTCTTTAAAAAAATATTTATAAATTTTGACACATACCTCAGATTTTATGAATTGCCGAATAGTTTCCTTTAATTCGAGAAATAATCTAGACGTATGCTCAGTAAGTTTTTTATTTGATTTTTCTTTTTGGAAAATAGTTTCATGCAAAATAATTATAAATAAAACCCCTCGACCGCTACGCGGTCTCGTGATTTTATTAAATTATTTTGCATTCAACATTTTCCAACAAAAACCAAACAAAAAACTACTGAGCCTAGTTTAACCGATTAAATTCATAGTTCTCGTGATATAATATATGAATAAGCGCTGTTGCAACTTTTGCAACTACTATTTTTCTTTTATGATACTATTTGTCTTTCCGTTTCTTAAAAAATTACTGCTGTATATTAAAAAGCAAAAAGATTTCAGACTTTTAAATAACGTTGTAATTGTAAATTATCTTTAATTAGGGAAATAATTCTTAATAATTAACCTTAGCCTTAAATCTAAGCTGTTGTACCATCCCTTATTTCTTATACTAATTATCTCAAACACTTTATTTCTTCATTCTACTCCTGCTCAATATACACGGTGCTGTTCTGAGAGGTGATTTTTGGACTTTCTGTGAAACCTAATTTTTTTTCTTGTTAATTAGGTCATAACTAAGAATTTAAAAGCAAAAAAAAATTTGAAGATTTAAATTGTTTTAATTGGCTGTTTATTAAAAATATTATGCACTCTTTCAATTATCCAATTAAAACTAGCGATTTAATTTAAATATTTAATATTTGCATAACTAAAAAAAGGTTTTTACATTTTTTTTATATTTATATATATTTATATTTTGCTGTTTTGTTGCAATAAACGTTCAAACTTTTAATCTAACCTTTGACGTATACATTTATGTTCCCTTAATTAATATATCTTTAAAGGTTGCCATGAAACTTAAATCTATTAAAAATTTATTTGATGTTTGAATTGTCATTTTCAGTATACGTATTGTATAATTTTGTTTAGTTTTTTAAAGTTTTTTTTATAAACAAAAATGAAAAATTGTAGTAAAAGTTACGAAGAAATTCATGAAATTTAACTAAGGACCGGTTTAAAGTTTATCGATAACTTTCATGTCTTGGCAATATCTAGTATCCAAAGAAATTATTCGTCAAATAAATCAAAAATGAATAAATCGGCCCTAAATGAAATGTGGCACCCTTAGAATTATTGTTTAATAAATGTATACTATACATTTAACCTTAAATTAAAACTTTAAACGTGTATTACAACAAAACTGTAAAAGATATAAAAAATGTATAGACCTTTTTTTAGAAGATTAACTAATCTTTAATCTGATTTAAAAAGTTATGATAATATTTAAATAAAATCGCAAGTTTTAATTGGAGAATTGAAAGCGTGCATACATATTTTTAATAAACATCCAATTAAAACAATTCAAACCGTCAAATTTTTTTTATTTTGCTCTTAAAATTTTAGTTATGACCTAATTAACAAGAATATAAAAAAATTAGGTTTGACAGAAAGTCCAAAAATCACCTCTCACAACAGCACCGTGTATAGCAAAACGCCTGGAGCTAACAAAGCTGTCTGGCAGAAGGTCTGAATAATGAAATAGACGAACAAGGCGGAATTTGTTATGTTTATGTATACATACCGCTTTCCTGCAGGACCACATTGCATAAACCACGGTATGTTGCATGCACTTGAAAAGGACATCTTGTCCGACACAGGCGCTATTCTGTGCCAAATGTTATGCAGACTTTCAGATGGTTTATTGTTTTCGAAAATATTCAGTGCATTATATTGTCTTGATTATGATGTAAAAGTTTTTCTAGGGTGAAAAATAATGAGTAAACAAATTTTAAAAATACTTTGTCAATTATTAATTTTTAATCTTTATTTTAACATTGTTTTAAAAATTGGTTTTAACAATATAAATGTGATTTGACATTTAAATTGTGTTTTTTATTATAAAATGCCCTATTGACATCTTTAAATGTCTTTATAATGAGTTAAATTCTGTTTTAACATTTTGACATTATAAATGTGTTTTTTATACTCCAATTGTGTTATTGACATTCTAAATTATGTCGTTGCAAATGTGTTTTTGACATTATAAATGTGTTCTTATCATTCCTAATTATGCTTTCAACATTTTTATTTTTTTTTTAACCATTCTGATTTTAACATTAATTGTGTTTTTAAAATTATAAATGTTTTTTTGACATTTTAATTGTGTTTTTAACATCCAAATTGGTTTTAACAATATAAATGTGATTTGACATTCAAATTGTGTTCTTGTCAATTTAAATTGTGTTTTTTACATATCAATTGTGTTTTGACATTAAAAATGTGTTGACATTCTTAATTATACTTTTTACGTTTTTTAACATATTGACATTCTAAATGTGTTTTTTAAATTCCAATTGTGTTTTTTTAACCATTCTGATTTTAACATAAATTGTGTTTTTTATATTAAAATTGTGTTTTTGACATTCTAAAATGCATTTTCAACCTTTTTAATTCTTTTTTTAACCATTAATTGTGTTTTTAAAATTATAAATGTTTTTTGACATTTCAATTGTGTTTTAAACATTTAAAAAAAAATTAATTGTAAAGAAATATTTCTTTATACTCCATCAATTGTGTTTTGACATTATAAATGTGTTCTTGACATTTTTAATTGTACTTTTGACAGTATGTGACATTTTAAATTGTGTTTTTTAAATCTTTGTGTTTTCGACATTTGTTTTTATTATACATTCTTAAATATCTTTATAATGATTTAAATTGTATTTTTAACATTTTGACATTCTAAATGTGTTTTTTATTTTCCAATTGTGTTTTTGACATTCTAAAATGCATTTTGAACATTTTAAATTGTCTAATAAACCATTTTTTACATAAATTGTGTTTTTAAAATTATAATTGTTTTTTTGACATTGCAATTGTTTTTTTGACACTCAAAATATTATTTTAATATTTCTGAAAAAGTTTATTGTAAAGAAATATGCATTTAATTTAAAAATAATAATATTTTTTAATATACATATTGTGTACTGTGTTTTTTTACATATCAATTGTGTTTTGACATTATAAATGTGTTGACATTCTTAATTATACTTTTGACGTTTTTTAACATATTGACATTCTAAATGAGTTTTTATATTGCAATTGAGGTTTTGACATTCTAAAATGCATTTTGATCATTTTAAATTGTTTTACATAAATTATGTTTTTAAAATTATAAGAGGAGTAGAAAAATAAATAAATAAATGGTATAATACTTAAAAACCATCTGATAATGAAAATAAAAAACACATTCACTAAACTTACTAGACCATTCCTTTTAAAGCTACATCAAAACCTAATGCATCCATTTTAACTATGATGATGATTCATAAGACACTTCGCATATTTCATTTTGACTTTAAAAGCTCTTGTAACTTATCTACAGAAATACTTAAAACTTTATAAGTAATTCCAATAAAACAGCTCTCGACGTAGTTTTAATAGCACGAAATTTAATTCGTTTCGAGTATCTGAAGTCGAATTAATTATGAAATACTGCTGTTTTCCAAGTCTCACTGAATACCCAGTAGGATAAAGCTTGTTTTTATTTTGTTTCAGACCGAGGTCGAGTACGTTTTGCAAGTTGCCAAGGAGATCGAAATGAGGTAAGAAAAATATCTTATTTAGTTAAAAAAAATACTTTTTTATTTGGACTCCACGCCACCACTCGGCTGTTATCATCGTAACAAAAGTACAACTTTTCATAATCAGCTGTCAAACGCTTATATTAAAAACACTATTTTTGAGAATAAAGCCGGAAAATGTTAAAAAATATCAACAAATAAAACCGTGGCTCGATTTGTTATGTTGTTGGGTGTATTTCAAGAGGAAATCCTGGGTTGAGTTTTTACCAGTTTTCCAATAAACAGTGTTAATCTGAATGAAGAAATAAATTGCACACAGTCTCTGTAAATATAAAATGTACCTATTAGATACAATAAATACACATATAAGTAGTGATTAACTTGAAAAGTGTAAACATTTCAATTCAGTAAAAATCGTCAAACAAATAAGTCGTCTAAATTTAAACAGCATTTAGCATTATTTAAAGCGTTGATTAAGAAAGTCTCCACTCAACGGTAAAATACCATTATATTATGTTGCCATGAATTCGTAGGTATATTTTGTTGTTTAAAATGCAGTTGTTGGCGTTTTCTAGAGAACTCAAATATAATAATAAAATAATAATAAAATATAAAAATGGTTTATTTTAAGGTTATGTTTGTGAAAAAATTATTTTTTACTATTTTCCTAAAAATGTCCAAACTTAAATATAAATTATATTAGGAAAAGTTATCATTAGTTAATTCTGCACCAACAAATGTACTTACCGAATTGCTTCCTTTGGCAAAACATGAAAATGCAACGATTTAGTTCTTGAATTTTATTTACAATTAAAAACACAATAATTCACCATGATCCCTTAGATAAAATACACACACTAACGTAACTATATAAGCATTTAAGCGTTGAGTTTCTTAATCAATGATATAAGGAATAATCAATCGAAATCGAGTACTAAAAAAGTTTTTTAATTTTTTCCTTGCAACGTAAAACACAAATAACGTGCGCGATTTAGCTGTGCAATTGAACAAAATTTGTCGAGTAAGACTTCTGCCTTCCTCTCTTTTGAGAAAAAACTACCTATTTATTTAAAAATGATGTACAGTTCGTATGCTTTAAATGTATTGTTCACAATTCTTAAATTCACGCAATTTATTTATTTTTTAAGTCGACACTCAAGACAATTACTTGTTAAAGGGTTAAAATTGCTTGTAAAAAAGGTTAAATCTGATCTGCTCGAGCTTTATGTACGGACCGCAATAAAAATTTATCTCGATTTGAATTTTAATGCAGATCGATAGGAAGTTTAGTTGCTTGAGGCGGTTTTTTTTTCACACAGAATTGGGTTAAATTTAAATTCGCTTTATTTTTTCCATGTCCGGGGTAGACAGGTTTATTTAAATATTGCGTTGTTCTATTTAACATTTTAATGGAGAATTTGAGTGGGGCGAATTTAAAAAAAATGTTTTTAAACAAAATTGAAAAAATAAACAATTTTTTGTTATTTAATTTTTTAATCAGTTCTAGTGGCATAAACTTTAATACCTATCAAAAGTACATCAAATAACATAAATTGTTAAATATTTTTTTAAAGATAAATTACTGTTTTAAATAATTTTTTTATTTCGTTTTTGTAAATATCATATAATTCATATATTTCTTTCTCTGATTCCTCATACCTTTTCTGGATTCTGAAGGTAACTACTAATTCCTTGTTCTAACATCTAAAATAGTTTGTTGCAAATATCATTAAGTGTGGTATCTCTAGTTTGTGAAGCATTTATAATGTTAAGGCCGGAACAGGATGATTTATATAAATCTAATATTTTTTTGGGTGGTATGTTAAAAGTATTTTTCAAATTTATTAATTTTGTTGCCATTAGTTTTTTATGTTCTCTATTATGCACTGTATTTAAATCACTGTTATTCTGCAAGATGTCCTGTGGCGAAGAAATCACTATATTACATACTCTCTAAAAATTAATTAGTCAAAAATGTCATAGCGAAAAAGCAGCCACTAATAATTCTCGTCAACAGCAATTTGTATCCAGGACATTAAGCAGTCAATTCCTATGAAATATTATTCGCTGAATCCGAAAATGTCGTCAAAAGTTATAAAAGTAGAATAGTTTTGAAATATAATCAATTTTACATATAATATGGAATTGACTATATCTCAAAAACTGCTTAACTTTTATAGTTTTTGACGGTCTTTTCGGATTTAGGGGACAATTTTACATTAGAATTGGCTGGTAAATGTCCGGGATACAAATAGAGTATGAATTTAGCAACTGGGCAATTTCTGCCATTTAAACAGATGTTTTTCTTTAAAGAGAAACCATGCATCAAATGTTTAATTTGCTTAAAAAATATATAAACTATAGATTTGATAAGTGTTTTTACAAAAAATGCAAGGAAATATTCGTTTCTATGTTAAGATAGTTCTTAACATGATCTTTACTAAGGATGGAAAAATGAAATCGGAAGAAAATTAAACCGGCTTTACTCATGTAAAATTAAGCTCCGATCCTAATCTTATTACGTGTTAAATTGATAAATTGAATTCCACTTCTTTGATCTTGATTACCGTAGAACGAGAACTAGGTAAAACGCTCAAAGTTCAAAGCTAAGAAAAACATTCAAAAAAATCAATTTTGTTCGATTTTTCTTCTGTATACGATTCTCCAACAATTTTTGAATAAAATACTTTTTTTAAATTAATTTATTTATTTTTTAAATTTTAATTAATCTTGCTCAAAATATTTGCTCGACGAACTCTTTTTTTCGGTTGAACACTCCCGTTTGTAGTTAACTGCTTGACTGTACGGTGAAATGAAGTACGTGATCGAATTTTATCCGGAAAACGCTGAGCGTAGATATTAACAGCATCATCAAGATTCCTGCCTGCTTCTCCATAAATCAAAATCATTCTATTTTTTCTTCCACTGTTAAAAAATCCATTATGAATTACTGCTCAACGAAAGGAGGTATTTTTGTTTGCAAATTAATCTTCGAACTAAATTGATTAAATAATGCTAAACTATGTATAAATAGTTTCTTTATACCTCAATAATAATTATTATTTATAACTATTGATAATTATCACCGAATGAAATAATGTATAAAACTTAAAGCAAAGGAAGCTTAAATATTAGTTAAAAAATCGTGGGTACTTTAAAAAATTAGATTTAATTTAATAAGATAATTATAAATAAATACGATTTATAACTATTTTTATTTTGTTTTAGATTTCCTCAGCAAGTGGACGCTGGACTGCTAGAAGTTGTATCGCCATCCCCGGCCTACTATCCAAATTTGGACAAGCTCCGAATTACCTTAGGGGATTCCCCAGAGAGGGTGCGCTGGCGATCAAAACAGAACTTGGATTTTGCCTTTCTCATGTCTTACTGTCAGCCAAAAGGTAAGATTTCCTTTAGGATATTATCTGATAAGCAGTAAAAGCTTTCTGGGGGGATTTAGTTTGTTTTTGAAAATAGAGTACGAGGTGTGTTCAAAAAATATCGGGAATTTTCGTTTTTCGAAACAAATATTTATTTATTCGTCTACATTAATGTTGACGCCTTCAAAATAGTCCCCATTGGATATTATGCACATGTGCCGGCTCTTCTTCCAATACTCGAAACACTTCTAAAACTCGATCTTTGGGATAGCCTTTAGTTCTTTCAGCGATGCGCTTTTAATGTCATCTATGCTTGCAAAACGACGGCCCTTTAAGGTTCTCTTTATTTTTGGGAATAGGAAAAAGTCAGACAGAGGCATGTCTGGCGAATATGGAGGCTGGGGCATCATTACAGTATTGTTTTTGGCCAAAAATTTTCTTCAAAATTTAACAATTTTAGAACAAATTTTGCTGCCACGCGTTTCATACCCAAAACATTCGAAAAAATTTCATGGGATAAGCCAATCGATATACCAACATCATTAGCGACTTCTCTGATGGTTTATAACCATTCCTTCCACTTTTTCCATGTTTTTATCGGTTGTTAATGTGCTTGTGCGTTCGGGGCGTTCGTCATCTTCAACGTCTTCACGGCCATCTTGGAAACTCTTATACCACTTGTAAACTCTTGTTTTACTTATAGCACACTCACTATAGGCCTTTGTTAACATTTCACAGAATTTATTTCATTTTTTAAGCAAAATTGGATACAAATTCTTTGATCCATTTCTTTTAACGAACGAAAAATCGCCGAGCTCATAAAACACGTCTAACCTTAGCGGCTGCCACAGACAAAGTAAACAATGAAAACAGCTAAAGTTTTTATCATACTTCGGGGGCATGTATACCAACATAATAAAGAAAATTTTATGACAACCGGACCCTCCGAACCCGCGAAATTTAACAATTCTTGTTATTTTCTGAACACACCTCGTATGTTCCAAAAGAATAATTTATTATTAAAGCGTTTTTAAGACAAAATAAAGTTTTTATAAACATTTTGAAATTCAATTTACACTGTTAAATAAAAATATATCGACACAGCCGAGCAGAAGAATTCAATTTGTGGTGTCGCTCACAAATTTATTTGAAGACGCCAAAATGCATTTGTATCGTAAAATTCGCCTTAAAAATCGAATACAGAGAAGTCGGTTAAATTTTTTAGGAAGGAAAGCGTGTAAGTTGTTGGAGATTCAATAAATAATTCTAAGTTTATATTAAAGTTAAAGTAAACCGAAATTGAGTTAGACTGTTCCAGAGGAAGTAAATTATTTAATTTTAGTGTATGAAAATTTTGTAGAAAGAGATGTAAAAATGTATTTTATTTTATATTTTATTTTATATTTTATTATATATTTTATTTTATATTTTATTTTATATTTTATTTTATATTTTATTTTATATTTTATTATATATTTTATTTTATATTTTATTTTATATTTTATTTTATATTTTATTTTATATTTTATTTTATATTTTATTTTATATTTTATTTTATATTTTATTTTATAATTTATTTTATATTTTATTTTAAATTTATATTATTTTGTTGCTTTAATTGTTGCCCTAAATTCAAATTTTACCTCAGAATTGCGCAGACTGTAGATCATCCTATAAAATTGTAAATATTTTTTTTAAATTTTACCTTTATTGTTTTAAGTCTTATTATACAAGGTGTTTAACGTTCGTGGTTCATTAAAAGTTTCTGGGGAACGGCAAAAGATATAGATTTCAAATTTTAAAAGCGTTATAAGGGTGAATATATTGAGATGTCCCCCAAGTGAAAATGATAATTTTTTATTGTTGATTTTTTCACTGTTAGTCTAGAATGGGGTTTTTGGGAAGCCACCAGGTCCAGTAATAACATAACATAAGTGGTTCTGCACTAATGCAAGAATTTTAAGAAATCATACATTTTGAATATTAGAGCTTCACGGAAGATAGCTTCACGGAGGTTAGGATTTCGTATGTTTTTTTTAAACATCCCTTTGTATATTTGAAATAAGTTATTATATCTTTTGACACCTTAATATTTTTTTAAAATACAATTGTACATACATAAAATATTTATACAAAAATCTACTTACTGAGATATTACACTTCACGGTGGATAGGTTTTTAAATAGCAAATTAATGAACTTAAACTTTTGAATTATAAAACAGCAACACTCTCATTTGCATATAAATTCTAACTGACCTTCAGGAATCACGGGCATCTATAATGTCGTAAAGAGAGGTTTTTGCTTATTTAAAATGATTAAAGCGCCATCCGTTGCATAAAATTTAAAGCAAAAACAGATTCACGGAGGATACAATTTATTTTTGTAATACATAGATAAATGGTTATAAAAATTGTTTCTTTTAATTTTTAATAAGATTTTATATTTGATTCGATTGCTTTGGATGTAATTTACTTGGTGAACTGATATTTTTAGTATGCTTTTACTACCTTAGATATTTGAAAACATATAGGTTAACCTAGAAAGAGTAACAGTCACGGAAGATAGGTTTTAGACTTTTAAAGCATTGTAAAAAATAATTAATTGTAGATAAAAGTGTAGGTCAAACTCATTTAGTTTTATTAAATATCAGAGATTAATGTTTGAAATGGCTTTAATTTTTCTTTTTCAAACATTAATCTGTTATTAGATAAATGGATGGTTTTAGATGATGCCAAGTAAAAAAACAACTTTTTAAATAACTGCCACTTCTTTATACACGACAAAACTTTAGTGGATCGGAAGGAAAGTTTTATTTTTCCTTATATCCCTTTCGCGTTTATTCTGCATATAATGCTAGAAACATACGAGATAGAAAATTGGAAAATATCGGGCTCTAAATTTGAGCATGTGTTGTTGAAATTTTTATAGAACAAATAGGAAAGTCAGCCCGTAAACTCCCAGATATTCCAGTGTTTTCTTTTTGGATATGATATATATGTATAAGTAGAGAGAACGGGGTTTCCTTATTGATTGCATTGTTTGCATCAATTTTCTTTTAAAGATTCTATATATCTTTATTCCAATAATAAACTACCCTGTATTACATACAGGGTTTCCCATTTTTTTTTATTTTATTTATAAAAAAATATATTACAGCCAATGTAATAAAGTTTGATTATGTTAATTAAATTTAGCTTTTCACATAAAAAATTATTTTTCATTTGTGCTAAATAACTATTTTACTTTTTAACTTTTACAATATTACACGGAGAGAAAAGTATAATGCTGATTACCATAATTATAATACCCTTTATTTATTTATTTATATTACTATTTGCATATTTATTAATTTTTAAATATCCATGTATGTTAAACCTTATGGTAAAATATTATTATTCTCAACCAATTTTGTTTTTAATTCTTATTATAATTAGATTTTTTCCATTACTAATAAGTATAGTAAATTTTAAAACATTATGTTGCCGTTTTAAATATAAAATATTTTAAAATCAAATATTTTTATATGTTAACAATTAAAAATTGTAACATATTTATTGTACTTTTTAATATACAAAAATGTTATGAGAAAGAATTGAACCTACACCTCGCCAAAGTTTTTTGTTTTGAGTGCGTTCCATCAACTTCAAATACCGACAGACAGGTGTTTTGACCTATATTGGGTATCATGAGTGTCGACACGACACTGTCGAGCAACTTGTAGTAGTGGAACACACCCAAAACAAAGAAATACCTGAGCTTATATAACATGGTTGGTAAGCCAACAGAGGCGAGATGTAGGTTCAATTATTTCTTATAAGTATTACCAGTAATGGGTCAAGAAAGTTTATTGAAGAAACTAAGAAAATTGAATGTTTAAAATGTCATGAGTTACTATATTGTATATTATATTTAAATATATTGTTTATTTAACTTAAACATAAAAGTATCTTTATTTTTACAATATTTTTTATTAATGTGTAATATATTATAATATTAGATGTATACCTTACATTTAATTAAATCATATAGTAAATATTACTATTTGTAGATATTTTTTCTTGCCGATAATAATTTTTTATCAAGAGAGTTAACTACTTTAGTTTAAGGACACCTTTTTCAGTGTACCCACCTTTTGAAACTTGTTTTATTAACTAAATTTCCTCTCTGGTGGATACTATAAGTTGCTATCGTAAATTCTAATATAATATTCGTAACTAAACCGTTTCTAGAATGCCGCAAAACAAAAGCCTCACGTTTAAACAAGTAACCCAAGACTGTTGTGGATGTTCTCTAAATTTTTAACTCAAACACGTGTTGTCTCTTTATTTTCCTAAGGGTCCTTTTACCCTGTGTTGTAGAAGACCAGACAAGTTTAATAACATTTTCTGACTATTAAAAAAATGAATACCTAAACTTAATATAAGCTGACACTGACAACATTAAATAAACAACAAAACAAACTACCTACAAACTGAAAAATAAAATTCGTATATCTAATTCTAAAAGTATTGAGATATAATTTAACATGAAGTGCGTCTCCACTTATAATAGTACAAATGTCGATAGATTAAATATGTATTCGGCGACAAACACAAAAATTTTGTAAGGATAGAATTAAGTTAATATAAGCTGAAAACATAAATTACAAACTAAAGTAAATTGTAAGCTAATCAATAATGTAGCACAATAGGAACATAGAAACACTTTTTATCCTCATTTGATCACCAGGTCATAATTATTGATTTATCCCAGTCCTTGAACAATTTTGCAAATACCTACCTACCTATTCGGAAAAATAATATTCAATAATTACTCACCAGAAATGTGGTACTAACCTCTCAATGATACACTTCCTAACACTAACTAAAACTGCAAACTGATGATGCAGATTGCAGTTGAGCGACCGGCCGGCGTCTTATTTCAAGCGGGAAATCATTTCATTGGTTATCTTAGGTGGTGTGATGCTTCACTCCCGAAAAAATTGTCCAATATTGTAAAATTTTTATTCTAAATCAAAGTTATACTATATTTATGCGAATTATTTAAAAAATTGTACAAAGATAACATTTATTTTTGAAATATTTCTAACAGATTTCAACTCTTTTCTTGACAATATTGTGCAAATGGTTAAATATAAAATAAAAGTTGAGATGCTTGTTCTAAGATTTTGTCTAACTTGTGCACCACGGTGCTGTTCTGAGAGGTGATTTTTGGACTTTCTGTGAAACCTAATTTTTTTTTATATTCTTGTTAATTAGGTCAAATTTGACGGTTTGAATGGTTTTAATTGGCTGTTTATTAAAAATATTATGCACTCTTTCAATTATCCAATTAAAACTAGCGATTTAATTTAAATATTTAATATTTGCATAACTAAAAAAAAGGTTTTTACAATTTTTTTTATATATTTTACTGTTTTGTTGCAATAAACGTTCAAACTTTTAATCTAACCTTTGACGTATACATTTATGTTCCCATAATTAATATATCCTTAAAGGTTGACATGAAACTTAGATCTATTAAAAATTTATTTGACGTTTGAATTGTCATTTTCAGTATACGTATTCTATAATTTTTGTGTTTTTTATAAACAAAAATGAAAAATTATAGTAAAAGTTACGAAGAAATTCATGAAATTTAACTAAGGACCGGTTTATTCATCTTTAGTAAAGTTTATCGGGCCGATAACTTTCATGTCTTGGCAATATCTAGTATCCAAAGAAATTATTCGTCAAATAAATCAAAAATGAATAAATCGGCCCTAAATAAAATGTGGCACCCTTAGTATTATTGTTTAATAAATGTATACTATACATTTAACCTTAAATTAAAACTTTAAACGTGTATTACAACAAAACAGTAAAAGACATAAAAAAGGTATAGACCTTTTTTTAGGAAATTAACTAATCTTTAATCTGATTTAAAAAGTTATGATAATATTTAAATAAAATCGCAAGTTTTAATTGGAGAATTGAAAGTGTGCATACATATTTTTAATAAACATCCAATTAAAACAAAATTAACCGTCAAATTTTTTTTATTTTGCTCTTAAAATTTTAGTTATGACCTAATTAACAAGAATATAAAAAAATAATAGGTTTCACAGAAAGTCCAAAAATCACCTCTCAGAACAGCACCGTGGCACGTGTTGTTCTTTTATTAAAATACCTTTACGTCCTTTGTTTCTCAGGAACGTTCTACGTACAACTGGAAGATGATATCCTGGCCAAACCGTCTTACATTAGCGAAATGAAAAAGTTCGCGCTGGAGAAAATAGCCACTAAAGAATCCTGGTTTGTGTTGGACTTTTGCCAACTCGGCTTTATTGGTGAGTATTTACTTACAGGTTCATTCATATACCCTGCTTATAGTAATATTGTTCAATTTTGAACTCAAGAATTTAGACGTAAGGGAATGTTTGCGGAAATTATATTGTTTTCAGTTTTTATTTCAAGGTAAGTTTTTGTTCTTTTACAATCTGAATTATTTTAATTTTAGTAAAGCTATCCAATTACTGGTTGGTAAAAAATGTAAATTTCTATTATTGGACATATGTCCAATATCATACTCTATTTATACCCCGGGCATTTACCAGCCAATTCGTATGTAAAATTGTCCCCTGAATCCGAAAAGACCGTCAAAAACTATAAAAGTTAAGCAGTTTTTGAGATATAGTCAATTCCATAGTAATATAGTGATTTCTTCGTCACAGGACATCTTGCAGAATAACAGTGATTTAAATATAGTGCATGATAGAGAACATAAAAAACTAATGGCAACAAAATTAATAAATTCGGAAAATACTTTTAACATACCACCCGAAAAAATATTACATATACATATATAAATCATCCTGTTCCGGCATAAACATTAAAAATGTTTCACAAACTAGAGATACCACACTTAATGATATTTGCAACAAACTATTTCAGAAGTCATACCAAGGAATTAGTAGTTACCTTCAGAATCCAGAAATGGGATGAGGAATCCGAGAAAGAAATATATGAATTATATGATTACCTAAAACAGTTATTTCATGAAAAGTTGTTATGTTAATATTCCTTAAGTATTACTATGTGGTTTACCCTGGTTTAATTTAGAATATTATTTTATAAAAAAGCATTTTGCATTGTATTATTTTATTTTCTGTGATGTATGATCCTGTCTAGTTTCACCTAGGAAATATTTGTCACAAAGAAAAGATCTTTATTTGTTATGCCACACGGCATGTAAACATTGTATTGTTTCGAAAAAATTCTTCCATACATCATCTATCACTCGAAATATGTTTCCATCTAAAATGACTGATGTTCCCGAGCCTAATAAAATAATCCTTAACCTGGCTGAAAATCTAATGGTTTGTTCCGCAACAAGAAATTAATGGAGTTAAAGTCAAGGAAAAAAGTAACTTACGTCTAAAGTTCTCTTTGGTTTTTGTGGATGCTTTTTCATCTTGCACTGTCAGGGTCACGTCTATGTCGGATTTGGGTTTTAAGTGACAGTAAAAGAATCAATTTGGATTTTGTTTGTAATAGTTTTTTCTGCCACGATACAGGGTGTTTAAGGTTTTAGTAGCATATGAGATTCTAAAGTCCTTCTGCTAAGACTACAGGGTATGTAAATCAAACTTCTTCCACTAGGGTTTTTTGAATAGTAACAAATCTATAGACAGTTCTGAAGGGAAGAAAATAAAATAAAAACTTGTGGTTCATATAATATTTTATGATAGCAAGGCAAAAAAACGTTGGGTCGGTATATTAAACTTTTCCTTTGTTGCTGTGGTAGCATATATTTTCATTTGAGTCTGAACGTCACGGCAATTTACGAGCTTCACCATTAAGCATAATGCGGAAGACAGTGGCGTCAGTTTATAATAATAAAACTTTCACTTCTGCTCCAAAAAAATATACAATTTAATATATTTTGAAATAAAATTCCATTTGTACTTTTGGAAAATACGTTTAATAAAACATCCATGATGGTTGAACTTGATGAGGATAAGTGCTGCCAAGAGTAATCTTTTGAAGCTTCCTATTGATTGCAGCCTTTAAAAATTTTCTTCGATGTTTGAATTTTATTTTAAATGCTTTCTCCTATATAACCCTCAGCAGATGTTGAAGACCATCCCCCAGTCTTTTCAAATCAGGGATAATGCCCCCATTATCAACCAACATGGTAGCTGCACTCCTTCGCATACAATGCCCTGTGTAGCTATTGGAATCAGGAAGCTTCAAATATTCAGCAAACTATAAAATGTGTTGATCCCCACCGGTTGCACAGTGCATTTACCATTCCGGTAACAAACGAAAAATCTGGAATGATTCGTGTTTTGTGGCCTTAATTTGCGATACTTCCGATACAACTCAATTCCATTCGCTTCAGAAGTTATGGTAAAACCTAGCTTCCATTTTGTTTTTGTATTACGTAGTGTTACGATAATAACTGATTCATTCTCTTCTATATCGTTAATTGTTCGCTCCATAGCTCCATTTAAAGCAAAAATTAATGCCACTTTCAGAAATAGATACGATTCATTCGAAGCGTCATTTGGAAACTTCATAATTTCTTCAATTGACACTTTTGACTTTTTAGGTTTATATCCTTTATTCTGTTTTTTCAAAAATGCAATTAATTGCTTGTATTTTGAAATGTCACTGCCTTCATATATTTGCAACGTACTCTTCAGCATCGAATATGTTGACCACAGTGACGATGCCTTTAGATTTTTGGACTAAAAATACAAGAAAAAATTAGAAAATTTATTTTTTAAAAGCATTAGCTGCTTACCTTTCCCTAAAAAACGCTAGCATAACATTTTCACTGACTCCATGTACCCTTTGATTGTTCTCCATTGCCAGAATTGTTCAAAAGTTTTATCATGTTTTTCTTTTGACTTAGATGGAAGCAGATTTTGAGTCGCTTTTCTCGCGGCTTCCAAAATACCCTCATTTTCTTCAAAAACACTCATCTTCCGACAAAATTCTGTTTTTATTTAATTTGTTGTCATGCGTTGAAACGGTTTACTTTTTATAAGCAACGAGGTTAAAGATGATAAAACCAAGCAAAAATTGCTGTTTTTGCTGTTTTTCCCCAGAACACACTGCTGTAAATCAGTTTAGTTTTTTATTTGAGTCTCCGGAACGTTCTCGTCAATTATTATTATAATGTATGTCCGATTTTTATGTATTCGGTGACAGAAAGCTTGTCAATGTGTGTATATACGAGGTGTGTTTAGAAAATAACCGGAATTGTTAAATTTCGCGGGTTCGGAGGGTCCGGTGGTCATACAATTTTCTTTATTATGTTGGTATACATGCCCCCGAAGTATGATAAAAACTTTAGATGTTTTCATTGTTTACTTTGTCTGCGGCAGCCGCTAAGGTTAGACGTGTTTTATGAGCTCGGCGATTTTCGTTCGTTAAAAGAAACGGATCAAAGAATTTGTATCCAATTTTGCTTAAAAAATGAAATAAATTCTGTGAAATGTTAACAAAGGCCTATAGTGAGTCTGCTATAAGTAAAACAAGAGTTTACAAGTGGTATAAGAGTTTCCAAGATGGCCGTGAAGACGTTGAAGATGACGAACGCTCCGAACGCACAAGCACATTAACAACCGATAAAAACATGGAAAAAGTGGAAGAAATGGTTATAAACCGTCAGAGAAGTCGCTGATGATGTTGGTATATCGATTGGCTCATCCCATGAAATTTTTTCGAATGTTTTGGGTATGAAACGCGTGGCAGCAAAATTTGTTCCAAAATTGTTAAATTTTGAACAAAATTTTTGGCCAAAAACAATACTGTAATTATATTCGCCAGACATGCCTCTGTCTGACTTTTTCCTGTTCCCAAAAATAAAGAGAACCTTAAAGGGCCGTCGTTTTGCAAGCATAGATGACATTAAAAGCGCATCGCTGAAAGAACTAAAGGCTATCCCAAAGATCGAGTTTTAGAAGTGTTTCGAGTATTGGAAGAAGAGCTGGCACATGTGCATAATATCCAATGGGGACTATTTTGAAGGCGACAATATTAATGTAGACGAATAAATAAATATTTGTTTCAAAAAACGAAAATTCCCGATATTTTCTGAACACACCTCGTATGTAGTTGTACGGATAAAATTCGAACATGCCACTTGGGGTTACCGAAAAAATAGTGGGCCTGGGTTTATGGAGTGAAAAATAGATCTCTACGGTGTCAAGAGGCTTAATGGTTTATATTTTTTGTCAGGTTAGCAGTAAAAAGGTCCAGTGAGTTTAAAATTTATGACGTGTAGGTTAGGGTGTCCGTTATTTGGGCGATGTGCGAATTTTTTTGCTCGCACCCCCCAAAAAGTTGTAGTTTGGGAAAAAAAATTTTTGGTAATTTTTTTAGATTTTTATTTTTTAATTAACCCGTGCCGCAAGAGGGTTAAAGATTTAATTATTGTTAAAATATGATTAAATTTTGCCTTTCACTATAGGCTTACCGCTCCACGATTTTTCAATGAAAAAAGTCTGTCGAGTGGTTTTCTTATAGTTCAAACACCGCTGAACCCGAATCTGAAATTCGTTTTTTTTTTTCATTAATCGTTTTTTTAGAATAGCCTGTGTCGGGAGTAGGTAAAATCGCAAATCGGATGAAAAATGGGATTAGGCTCTTTTCACATTCAAAGTCCTGTAACGTCGCCAGTTTTCAATAAAAAAATCTGAAAATTGGTATACTTATGGTTTTGACATCGCTGAACTCGAATCTGACATTTTCATTGATGACAGCTGTCAAAATAGCTGTCAAAAATCCCAAAAAACGGTTTTTTATTAAAAATGCCCATTTTATGGTTATTTCATGCGCTGAATCTGAATTTGATGCACTTTGAATTATTTATTTTCATAAAACCGAAATCCAAATCACTCAATAAAATGTACAAATGATTGAACTGTCAAATTTCAAGTTCCAAACATAATTTTACAGGGGCAAATGGGCATTTTTAATAAAAAATCGTTTTTGGGATTTTTGACAGCTATTTTGACAGCTGTCATCAATGAAAATGTCAGATTCGAGTTCAGCGATGTCAAAACCATAAGTATACCAATTTTCAGATTTTTTTATTGAAAACTGGCGACGTTACAGGACTTTGAATGTGAAAAGAGCCTAATCCCATTTTTCATCCGATTTGCGATTTTACCTACTCCCGACACAGGCTATTCTAAAAAAACGATTAATGAAAAAAAAAAACGAATTTCAGATTCGGGTTCAGCGGTGTTTGAACTATAAGAAAACCACTCGACAGACTTTTTTCATTGAAAAATGGTGGAGTGGTAAGCCTATAGTGAAAGGCAAAATTTAATCATATTTTAACAATAATTAAATCTTTAACCCTCTTGCGGCACGGGTTAATTAAAAAAAAAAAATCTAAAAAAATTACCAAAAATTTTTTTTTCCCAAACTACAACTTTTTGGGGGGTGCGAGCAAAAAAATTCGCACATCGCCCAAATAACGGACACCCTAGTGTAGGTGTTATGTTTTATGGATAGGTACCTACAGTTTTATTGCGTGATTGTGGGATAAAAAGTTTTGAATTATTTTGCGCATTGTGTTACTTTTTTAAAAGTTTTTTTTTTGTTTCAGGAAAACTCTTCAAAAGTGCCGAATTACCATGGTTAGTCAACTTTTTTCAAATGTTCTACAACGACAAACCAGTGGACTGGCTTCTCGACCATTTGATATCAACAAAAGCTTGCAACTGGGACAAAGGAAACGTAAGTAAACTATTTAAATTATTTTTTGTAATTTTAAAATTTTTGGGTGGTTTGAAAATTTAAAAATTTTTGTAAATTTTGGATTTTTTTATTGCTTTGTAAATTTTGAAAAATTTTGTACCTAAATTTTGAAAATAATCGAAATTTTGAAAATAATCGAAATTTGTCCTAAAAAAAGTTTCTTCAAAAAGACTATTTTTAACAACAAAATAATAAAAACATGGGACGGAAGAAGTTGCCAAGAGGAAAAAAAGAAAAATGTATTCTTCATAATAGTTATTTATGTCATTAGGTTAAGAAGTAAGGCTTTTTGTGCTAAGCTCAAGGTTTGAGCGAAGCACAAAAAGGCACTTCTTGGTCGAATGGCATACAACATTTTATCTTCAAAGCACTTTATATAGGTCAATTTAATTCAACATCAAAGCGCCCTAACCTCACTTTTTTAGAATCTCATTTATGTATTAGCCAAAGATTACATTAAATGTATACAATAATTATTATTGCTTTTAGAAGCAGTAATAGTTTGACAATACCTAGCAACATGATTTAAGTAGAAATGGATTTTTGCTATTACATTGAATTCAATTAATTGTTTAATAAATAGGTAGGTATCTAATTTCAATTTGTTTGGATTTTTATTTAAAAAATAGGTAGTTTGGAATGTTTAAGCTGTGTTTAACATTTAATTTCACTGAAAACTTAAAGCAAATTAAAAGTTAAAGATAATTTAAATCGTAGCAAAAGAATCGTGCGTTTTCTTGGTTGCCTAACCTCACTTTTTGTTTAATTATTCATATTTAATTTTACAATAATTTAATTAAAAATATTAAACATTAACAGTAAATCAAACAAATTAGTGCTTATTATAAATAAATTAAACCAGTTTAGTACGTTAATTTCTTAGAAAAGGATTAATTTGTCAAAACAATACCACTAGCGATAAAAAATCGAACTAATTACTTGCCTCGTAAAATCGGCCTAGGCCATAACAAGGTATTCCTTTATCGAATGTTGATAACAATAAAGTTTAAATTATAGACCGCGTGGAGGTAAGTACTTTTTTCTAAGTATAAAGAAAATTGGACAATTAATCAGTATACATGTCTTCTTAAATAAGTAAAAATGGCGTACTCAGACAGAGAAAGACAAAATATTTGAACGTATTATCTTAAAAATAATTTAAATATTTCAGTAACGGTTGAATTTGGGTATATGTTGAAATATGCTTAGAATTTTACAAGGAATCGAAAAATAAATACATATATATTGTGATCCATTGAATAAAAATAAATTTTTGGTTTTCCCTGTATTCTGATCAATTTTCCATTTTTTTTATACGTAGAAAAGTCTCTTTTAGTACCTACATAACCAAAATTTTTTGGGACACTTAAATTAAAAAGTTAAAGGGGGGCGACATTATAGGGGATCACCCTGTACAGGCATACTAAATCTTCTTTCTTTTTGGACAACATTGTTCTTTTCTAGAAATTCAAAGAAAATTTATCTACTAAGATCTGTATTGGGATTTTCCCAGTAGGGTGACTTACAACTATTGTGGAAAAGTTTTGCAAACTTTTTGACTATATACAGATCCTGATTAATTACTTTATTAGCAAAAACGACTCGACACTTCGCAAGTTCCATCATAATTAAAACTATTTGAAGTTTGGACTTAGCAACTAACAATGATAAAAGAAAGGTCTTGTCTCCACAATAGTTAAAGTGACATTTTGTAGGTAATTTAATTAATTGATCATCGCCGAAATGTCGACGATTTCATAAAACAGTAACCTTTTAATTGAAAGGGCAAGTTGATGAATGGTTTAAGTAACATTTTGAATAATAGTGTATAAAAGATATTAATTTTAATTTACAATCCCAATATTGTCCGTTCTTTTTGAATATAAATAAAACATGAACAAAAAAGGTACGTGATATTAATAAAAAAAGTACATCAAATCAATAAACGACAACATAATAGTTAATTCAATAAATTTTTACACTATATTAATGAAGGATAGTTTTGAATGTTGGCTAGTTTATTGTTTCAATGTACTTAGTTATTAATCTATGATCAAAAAGCATTGTTATAATCACCAATAAATAATATTAATGTACAAAAAATTAAAGCAGTTATCGGACACTTTATAGTTATTAGACAATTAACATTAATACTGTAAAAACAAGAGTTCTATAAATAGTTACCTTAAAGTCAAATTATTAGATGACGCTGTATACAATTATAAATATAGAACTACTTTATTTTGGGTCCAATATAGGACAAAAAAGTTCGCACGTTACTTTGGTGGTAAGATTTTTGTTTATTTGTTAAGAGCATAGCTGTGTTTAAATTACAATAAAAAATATTTCTAAAAAGTGTACAGATCGGTGTGTGGTATAAATGTGTTCTTCTTGATAGTTAAAAACAAACAGAAAAATGGCCAGTGTCATTCATTTTTAGAGAGTAAGTAATATAGTGATTTCTTCGTCACAGGACATCTTGCAAAATAACAGTGATTTAAATGCAATGCATAATAGAGAACATAAAAAACTAATGGCAACAAAATTAATAAATTCGGAAAATACTTTTAACATACCACCCGAAAAAATATTAGATATATATAAATCATCCTGTTCCGGCCTAAACATTATAAATGCTTCACAAACTAGAGATACTACACTTAATGATATTTGCGACAAACTATTTCAGAATTCAGACCAAGGAATTAGTAGTTACCTTCAGAATCCAGAAAAGGGATGAGGAACCCGAGAAAGAAATATATGAATTACATGATATTTGCAAAAAAGAAATAAAAAAATTACCTAAAACAGCAATTTATCTTTAAAAAATATTTAACAATTTTTGTTACTTGATGTAAAGTTGTTATGTTTATATAAAAATTGTATGTCCAATAACTATGGTCCATGTGTCCAATTACTATATAAAATGTCCAATACAATACTTTTTTGCATGTTTTTATAAAAATAATATTAAATTATTTTTAAGTAAACGTTAATAAAGTTTAAACAAACAAACTATCATTTTTATATATTTATAAGAAAAGAACTAAAATGGTTTTGCGTTAAAATTTTTGGAGGACTGATTAACGATATCAAATTACGCTCAAATATGTTTACAAATACCCAGTTTTATTACAAACTAAATTTTATCCCATTAATGCATTTTATTTATCTTCCCGACATTTATTTTTTAAGTGTGTCTCAGCGATAAACTATTGCAAAACTTTAGGATAGTTTCCTGGGACTTTTTAGCCTCTTGCAAACTTCCTAGACGTTTTTAAAACTACCTAATTGTTATACATTTGTTTGTTTTTTTATTCTTTTGCGACAAAGTAGGGAACTTTTATTACGCTATATTTTTCCGTTGGAGCAAGTTTTAAAAGAATCCCTCCTAATGGGTATAAAGTTTTCCCGTACGATTAGATAATGCTTAAAAGTTATTTGTTTGCGATTTTCACCATATTTATGAAGTGGAATAAGTTTCTTGAATGGAGATTTTTGTAAAATAGAACAGACAAAAATTTTGGAGTAAGGTCTTATGACATGAGTTCTTTATGCTATTTTATCTATTTTTCAAAATTTCTATAAAAAAAATTAATTTTATACCTTATATTTAAATTGGTCGAATTTTTCTTTAGATAGTTGGTATAGTTTGACAGTTAATGTCAAAATCGATTCGCCATGCCGTCCTTAATTTACTTATTTACAATAAGCGGCGTTAATGTTAAAGGAGAAAAAAAGGATTTTCTTTGTTTGTGAAACAAAATTTATTGCCAGAAAAGTATCGTAAGTACCAGAAAAGTCATAAAAATATTATAAGCAATATGCAAAATATTATGCTGTTTAAAGTATAGCCAACCTATAAAATTAAAATAGATAAAAAACTTTTCATATTAAGTATGGATAATTAAAATAAAAAGGAAACAAAAACACACCAAAAAATTGCAACATGATTATTTTTATCAATATTTTTAACCAAACCAATTAAAGTGCTTCCTGTATTTTTTGTCGAATTGTAATCACAAAATAAAGAGTTTTATGGATATTATACTGCCAAAACTATTTTTAATTGAAAAAAGTAGAAAAACCCATAAAGGACTAAAATAATTTGTGATTTGTCCGTGTTTATTTTCAAATGTGTTGTGTAAGTCATTATTTTATTAAACCTATTTTATCGAAATTAAATGACGAAAAATGAACGTGGGCAATACATAAACACACGCTCGACTGTTTATATTAACTGCTTGATGAAATTCTAGCCGCTCTTGAAATAAGCACGATAAAGGGGCTTTGGTTTACGATTATTGTACACACATAGATTTTAAAATATAAAAGTCTTAAGTAACGTAAAATCATTTGAATCATTCATGTATGAGCAGTGTGTTGAAGTTGTTGTTTAGTTCAGTTGATACAAATACTTTTTATAGTGCAAGACTCTTTATATTTGTGGGTGTAAAATAACTACTAGCTAAACAGGTGAGCTTATCACTGAGTGTCTTTTCTTTAGTAATCTGAATGTATATTTAGGCAGCGTTGTTATTTACTGGTAATTATTGTATTTACTTTGAATATGAAAATATCCGATTTAAAGACTGATTTGATAATAGTCCGTACACACGTAAAATTATCTGGAGCGGACAATTGCGTGTTTAATCCCTTTTGTCCATTGCACTACTCAGATGTCGACCACAGGTCAAGCTCTAGTAGCTGGAGCGAGCAAGTTGCGAGTTTAGCCCTTCATGCTCATTGCACAACTCAGTACTAGGAGAAGTATGAGACGTACCGCGTGTTTAATCCCTTTACGTCTAAGGGTGATAACTAGGTAGAGGTCACGTCGCGTGTTTAATCCCCTCGTGACCTAACTGCGATCTCCTAGTTACCACGCCTTGATTATGAACAAGCTATACAAGCTATTTAAATAGCAATAAAATACAATGCGTGTTATATCCCTTTGTGTTTTGGTGATTGTACGAATCGTT